CAGTACAGAGTTTTCCCTTTGGTTTCCAATTGGTGATATCTATGTATGTAAGGCCATACCTGAAAAAGATGCAATATTGTAACCTACTTTTTGGAGAAGAGAATATAACAGATTAGCAGTACAGAGTTTCCCCTTTGGTTTCCAATTGCCGATATGTATGTATGTAAGGCCATACCCGAAAAAGATGCAATATAGTACAGTACATAATCTACCTTCCGAGACTCAGCAATTGTCTCTTGCGCTCGAAGTTCTCCTCATGCGGGCCTTTGTGAAAGCAATCCGCAGGTTCTCGAATGTAAAGGGCTTCTGCACAAAGGCATCCATCCCACTCTCTGCCATGCGCTCGTCAAGGTCTTCTCTCTTGTGCGCACTGATCCCAATAATCATCAGCGAGTTGTACCTCAGTTGCCGCAAACTTGCGCTCATCTCGAAACCGCCCATGTTAGGCATGACGATGTCAGTAATGAGAGCTGCAAAAGCCCGGGTGGACAGCAGGGTGATCACTTCGTTGAAGGTGTTACAGGGGACAACGGTGACGCCCTCCTTTTCCAAAAGCCTGGTGCACATCCTGAGGTTCACTGGGTCGTCATCAATCACCACCACATGCATACCCCAGAGGCTAGGCTCGAAACGAAAGTAGGGGAGGTTGAGCAAGTCGTGCGCAGAGGGCCGCTCGGACGCCCTCAGCAGCGTCCTCTTTATGATGTCCTGCAGGCCTTTGTCCTGTACCTGACCGAGAGCTTTCGGGGGCTGGAAGTGGGTCACTTTGTCATAGAGGCTCGCAACCGTGCTGCACTCCTTGTACGGTTGGAGCCTGGTGGCTGCCTCTAGCATGACCATACCAAATCCGTAGATATCCACCTTCTCATCGGTTGGGCCGAGCAAACATTCAGGGGACATGACCCTGATCGCCTCTACCCTCTCCCTGGCATACCCGTGGGATGTGAACAGGAACGAGACGCTCAGCAGATCCAGCTTGATGACCCCAACGTCCTGATGCACCAACACGTTCCCCATGCGCAGGTTCCGGATCCGGAGAGGGCCGTCGAGGCTGTGGACAAAGGAGATGGCAGTCAGCAGGTCGCACCCCCACCTCCTCAGCACGATTTCATCGATCCTCCCAGCAGCCTTTAGCAGGTCCCGCAGGTTCCCAGGCCTAAAGAGGTCAGTGACCACGTGCATCTTTCCCGAGTCTGGGTCCAAGAACCAGTCGTGGATGCGCACGATGTGGTCGTGCTCGACCCTCTGGATGAGCTGGAGCGTCCGCACCAGCTGGTCAGTGCATTCCCCTGACTTCAGATCAATCACAGACCAGGCCACAGCCACACCCTGCTTGTGGTCAAAACCGGAGTAGAAGGTTTTAAACTCGGATGAGCCGAGGATATGGTCGCTTTTGCTGTACCTCTGCATCCCTCTCGGTGTGCTGTCATGCCCTCACTTTTTTTTCGGCTCCCGAGTTCCGGATCTGAACGGAGGACCGAGGGAAGCTTGCGGCCCTTGACGGAGCCTCACGTACACTACGTCAAGTGAGCTTCAGAACAAAAAAGGCGGCATCTCTTGCAATTGCAATAGCAATCACTTCGCAACCTTCGCACCCTTGTACATGGTGAGGAAGGAGCTCGAAGCCACCTCAGAGCTCTTCCGTGTTCTCGAGCTGGCCGCCCGGACGGCATGTCGAGCGGCTTCTCTTTACTGCCATGTCTTTTTCCCTGGATGGCTCCCAACACGGACGCGTGCATGAGCAAGTTTTTCTTGCTTTCTCATGTAGGTTACAGAATGGACCTCGACTTCCGGACCACAGAGGACCTGAGCCCTCCACAGCAGCTTCTTGCATTGGAGATGGCAGAGGCCCTCTGGGAGGCGATGGAGGCCGCACGCAAGGAGCGGATCATGACGTGCCTAGCTGTCGAGAGTATGATTGCTGCAGAGGTCTCTGAGATTGCCAGTAATCCAGAAGCAGCAGGCCTGCGAGCTGAAGAGGTTCCCTCGAACGAGAGAGAAAAGGCCGCCATGCAGAACCTTGTGTTGCAAAGGATTCTCGAGAAACGACGGGCCAAAGGAGGCTACGTTGGTTGGCAAAGCTATAAGAGCATGAAGGTTGACTTATTGAGCCGTTACGGTACTACCGTTGATGAGGATCTCACTGAGTGGCATTGAGTGTACATATCTTTATGCAAATCCTTACAGCAGATGGTAGCATGA